GGGCCGCACTAGGAATGAATCTCTCAGAAGTGAGACCCCAACTTCCTATTTGATTTTTAAAAACACACACCCTCAGATTTATCTCCAAAGGCTTTTAACTCCTTCAGGAGGTTTGAAGAGAGAGCCCTTCGGCGGGGAGGACCAGAGCTGGCGGGCCCACGCCGGGTCTGGGGGCTTTTTCTTCAGGGTTTCTGCAAGTCCGGGGAGCGCGCCGCGTCCGGGGAAACGTGAGTTTGGGCTGGGTTTTCTGCGGTCACATCCCGGCTTTAGTGATGAAGTGGGACGGATGCGCAGACAGTTGATAATGTTCTGATTCACACGGGGGAAGGCTGCAGAGATACCACAGGACCGGCGCGCGGCTTTGTTCAATTTTCCCGGTGTTCATAAATCACCCCCGCCGGGCGAGCGAGGGAGCAAGAGAGCGCCAAAAACGCCGAGAGAGAGGCCACGGCGGCGGTGGCGGCGGCGGCGGCGGCGGCCATTGCAGAGGGAAAGAGACCTGGGCAACATCTCTTTGTGACTCATTAGTCTGAACGATTTATGGGGAACGGCAGCCATGAATATTTGACTTGGGGATAAGGAAATAGCAACAACAATAATAACCATAATAATTACAATACTCCTAAGCGTCGTTGGTGGGGAGGGGTGGCGGATGGCGGCATAGCGGTTCTTTCTGGGGCGAAGTTGAGTAGCATTGTGCAGGGTAGCTAAGCCCTACCACGCTCAGGGTCCCTCCAGGAGCCCCAAGGCCGGAGACACTCCCTGTGGGGACATAGAGGGCGAATTTGAATAAGAGAAAGGGGCCCAGCGTGGATTCTGAGTCCCAAGGGCCTGATGGAGGGTGAGGGCTACAGGTCGAGAGGGTGGCAGAGGGCAACTAGTTGCTGGTTTTCCGCCATTTGTTCAGTGTGCTAGGGGGCCCTGAAGCCTGAGGGTCAGGGGGCTTGTCAGCTATTTGGTGGTCTCTCAGGCCATCAACAGGACTGCATGGACTGGGATCAGGCATCCAGGGCTGGTTGGGGGCAGGCTGGCATGTGGGGAGGCTACCGGGCCCGGGGGTGAAGGGGTAGTGGGGAGTAGGTTTGTGGAAGCAACCGGCCCAGCAGAGTCCCAGGCAGTGGAGAATCTAGCCGGGGTTCAGCATTGGGGATGATTCTTCTCCACCTTCCCCAGCGTCTTCTCTCCATCTCCGGAAAGTTGGCTGACCATTTGCTACTTAGAGAGCAAGAGAGGGTTGCAGATACCTTGAGAGACAAGTTGGCAGCAGAATTAGGGCATCGGTTGGCTTGGGACTGCTGTGCAAGGCAAGGCTGGATAGGGCCCCCAGATCGGGTATTGTCAGATGTCTGCATCCTTCCTAGTCTTCCCCTATTTCCAACCAGCCGCAGTTGGCCTACTCTCGGGGACTGGGCGCTGCGGTGGTCCCGCCAGCCCACTGGGACCGAGAAGTGAGGCACCCAGGGCTTGAATAAACCAGAAGACAAAACCTCTCAAGACTGCCCCCCAGCCCAAAGACTGCTCCGGGGTCTGATTTCGAGTCAAACAGAAATGAGCACTATTAGTGAGGTTTCAAGAGAGTCTGTGTGTGATTGAATGCTCCCAGACAGGGCTTCCCTTTGTTAGCGAAAGAAAATAAAGCGTGCATTCACATTCCCCAAGTTGAGGTGCGTGAGGAGCTCTTGGAGCAGAGCTGGCACCAACGGCAAAGCTTCTTCCGCCTTCCCATCTTCCTCCGCCTATCCATTTTCTTCTCCCTACCCCCTTCCCCCATCCCAGCCCCCGTAAAAAGAAAGAAAGAGGAGAATGTGGGTGCGGAGATGGAGTATGTATTCATTTTACAAAAATAAATCATCATCTGCAGGCCATTCTTAGACTGGACCCTTTCGAGCAACGAGTGCGCCTCATGGACGAGTGCCCTGGCGACTCCTCCGTGTCCGCGTCACCCCGGGGGCCACCCTGGCGCCCGCGCAGGGCCGCACTTCCAACTCCGGTTCTCCAGCTCCCTTCCTTCGCAGCCGCCGTTTACTCTCTGCTGTTTATTTGTCCGCAGAGCGCCAGGACACCGGAAAAGGCGATTCCCTGAGTGCCCGGAGTTGGAGACAATCACTGGTTCAGTCTTAAACATCTTTCGAGGTAAGCGCTGCGCCAACTCGTCACTCCTCCGGGCTTTGCACGGACCTTTGGAAGGAGTTTCCTCGTCCAGGCAGCTGCAGCCCCTTGAAGGAGGTTCTGGTCAATATTTAACCTCGGAGACGTTTTGGAGCTGGGTTCTCTTGAGCTGCACGCCCCGGGAATGCGGGGTTTCAGGCAGACAAAGAGTCTGCCCCGAAAAAACGGCCGGCACTGTGCAGGCGGGGCGGTTGCAGAGACCAAAGATGTGCGTGCGGGGGCGGCCGGGGGTGTCAGAGGAGCGTGTTTGTTTCTTGGAGCGAGCTCCAAACAAACCCCTACACCGAGCAGCAGGGCAGAAGCAAGTAGAGGCCACGGGCGCGGCGGCCGCTGCGTGGGCCGCGCTCCCTGTCGACTGTTTGCGGCGCCCGCGGAGACTGTGAGTTCGGGAATGGTCGTCAGTCACAGATCTGCGTTGAGGAAACTTGTCTCGCCGCCTTGCAGTTTCTCCTATCCTTTTGCCTTTCCGCGGCATGAGGGAGGTTGCTGCCTTTCGAATGTGTAGACTGTCGCAGGCAGCGGGTCTTCTCCGTTCCTTTAGGTGGGCGGAACTGCTCTTTTTCCTACGGGAAAAGCACGCGTTTCCCAGGTCTCTGCGTTTTCTTTTCCTACTGGAAACAAGGGAAGACTCTTTAAAATTCTTTCCAAGTTCTGGCTTAATTTGTTCTCTTAGTTTGGGATGCAGGGAGGTAATTACTGTGGTTTATTACCTTGTAAAAGATCCATAAATTTTGTGCCTGTTTGGGGGAGGGGCTGTTGGAATAGCTTTCAGAAGCTTGGTATGAAGGAATGGGTTTGCTTTGTTCTTTCAGGAGTTATTTATTTTAAAAAGTTTTCTGAGTTTTTGTTTTCTATTCCGCGGGCCTCAGTCTTCCCTAAAATTTGCTCCCCAAATAGATATCAGGTTGTTAATTAAGTGCAACATGCTATTCAGTGATGCTGTAAGGCTGATATGTTGTTCTGGATACAATTATTATCTTATCAGATAGAAGGTAAACAGGGGAATAGTAAACCTGGGTTACTTTCTCAGCTCCTGTATGTCTATTTATATCAAGTATAGGTTGAGTATTTTAGGAATTTGCAACTCACTGTGTACATATGATTTGAATCTCTGCACACAACAGAATCACTGCATGTGTACATAGTCACAGGAGTTGGAGACCATGTGTATAAAATGATATACACATCCATATGTGTCCAGAGAACTTGGAGCCCATTTGTACTGCAGTTGCACCCACAGGAAATATCTCATGTTAGATAATGATATATAACCTACACACACACAGACAAAAGTGGGCTAAGCAGGCCTTACCAGACACTAAGAAAAACCACTAGAGCTAACTAAAGGGAGAAAAATGTTAAGTGTATTTTTGACAGAGAAATCAGATTGCAGTGTTTGGATACAGATATATCTAATCTGCCAACAGCCTTGCAAATATTGACTAAAGCCCTGTATCCATGCTCACCTGCTCCTTCCAAGACAACTTTTGGCTCTGGTGAAATGGATTCAGGGCATGTGTCCCCAGCCCTGGCCAGGTTGGGGGCTGGAGTGGAAGGGGGGACCGGCAGCTAGATTTTCCCGGCTGGGCTTCGATACTTGAGTATCTCTATTCTCGTTCTCTGGAAATGAACTTTAAAAGGTCCATAGCCTTGTTCAAGGAGAGTGGATTTCAGAGTGGTGAGGGAGGACTCTCAGCTGCTGGTTCCCTGGTGGCCTGCCCAGACCAAGGTCTCTCTTAGGAAAGCCATTTTCACCTCAAAAGTTAAATTTCTTTTGACTTCCCCAGATTTTTTCCTCCACATCCCACCAAATCACCCCATTCCAACCCAAGTCGTTAATGTTAATTGTTAAACAGCAGTTGGAGCATTAACTGGGCTGTTAATAGCGGCAATGGAGGCTCCTGGCTAGAGCCGAGATGCCGCTGGGCCTTCCTGGCGTTAAGGCATTTCTCTGAAGCAGTACCAAATACTTCTCTCATTGATTTATGGCCTCGGAGTTACGATTTGCTCCAGACTGTTCTGAGAGTTCTGAAGGGGCCCCCTTCTCATCTTTGAGTTGAAGTCTCTGCAGAAACTTTGGTTGGGGGAGATGGGAGTTTGCCAGCAATTTGGCAATACTTCCAGGTCCTTTCTAGGCTACCTGGAGAGTTCGGTGTGAAATATTTGGCACAGGCAGGGTGGGGGGACTGCATAAGGGGAGCAGAGGACAATGTGTTAGTTGTGTGAGTCCTTGGGGGACTGCAGAGTGCTTTTTGGGAAACCGGCCTTTGGTTCTATCCCCCACACCCCATACCTGAGAGAAGTAGGTTTGCACTTTGGGTTCTCACTTTCCAGCTTGTGGCTTAGGTCAGAGTTGGGTCAGTTCACAGAGAGGTTCTCTCCCAGCTCTACCACAGACAGAACTTTGTTGGAATACTGCCACCAGCGTAGGCCAGGGCTCACTTCCAAAGGATTAGGTCTCCTCCTCTTTTATTGCCCTTCTGATTTGGACACTCCCGTGACCAGGCCCCCTTACTGAGGGCCTTACATTCTCACTAGGCCCCTGCAGGGCAGGAGAGGAGGAGGAGGAATCCTGTAGCTGCTATAAGTGAGTCCTCACTCTTAGAGAGGCCTAGCCAGCTGAAGATCCACTCTAAAGAAAGAAAAGAATAAGGCACCAGGAGCCCACCACTTCAGAAACTAAGAAGTTCAGAAACTAAGACCTGAAAAGAGAAACTTTTAAGGCAGGTCCTGAGAGGGTGAAGTGTTACAATCAGTAGACAGTGTCACCAAGCAGAAGTCAGGAGTAGAAGCAGGGCAGGGCCGGGGCGGGGGGGGGGGGGGGTGGGGTTGGTTCAGCTCGGTTGCTCCAGAGCAGAGTTGGTCCTGTTCATTTTCTGCTGGTGGACAGACTTGTCTTAGGGGAGGGTGGACAGACCCATCTGCAAAAGGGTCCCAGGTTACCTTGTAGGTTAATTCAAGGGATGCCAGCAAAGATTGGTTGTATATATAGTTTTTCTCTTACAGAGTCAATTAGATCATTTCCCCTTACATTTTCCATTGTTAGAAGCCTATAATTTCATGTATCGCTCAGCTGTGCACTGAGGAAGTACGCAAGTGTAGGTTTAGCCAGGGCACTGAGTCTCTCCAGATTTTGCAAAACCCTGACCCACCACTCTAGAGGCAAGCACCTCTTCCCTAGAGGGCTCCCATTGAACAAAATCAACTTAGCCTTTTGTCAGGTAATTTGGGGCCTTTTGGCGTGGGTGGTAGCAAACTCCATACAATGGCAGGCCATGAGGGAGTCCACTGACTAAGCCAGTCATTACTGGGTTTTCTTCTGGAAACAGGGCCTGGGCCTTGCCTTTTGACGCACTGGCTAGCAGGCCAGAGGAGACTGGCGTGCTTGGGTGTGCAGGCTTCAGCTTGTCTGCGTGTGGAAGACTGTACAGAAAGTTACATGGACTCTGAGAATGAGGACAGCATTGCTGTTTGGATCATTTGTAAAGAAATATAAGTGGAGATAAGTGGCCCAGTGTGGCACATGTTGGGGGGGGGTGCCCCCAGCGTCCTACTGCCCTAGATGAAACTCTTCCCCACTGCTGGGCAAGGTTCCCCACTTCCCCTCCCCCAAAGCTGAATGTTCTGCTTGGAAACCTAGTCCCTTCAGTGATTTCCTATTTCAAATAAAAGGATTTAAGTTGACGTATGACCACGTGAGCACATAATACAGCGCATTATTGTGGCATTTGGAGCGGAGACCCGGGCGGGCTTCGCCTGTGATTACGTTTTCTGGATTCTCTACAGAGCGAGAGCTTTTTCCCCCACCCCCACGCACCCACCTCCTCCTTCTCCTTCCCCTTCTCCGGAGAGCGCTCTCCTAGCGGGTTGCAGTTTTCAGCGCTCATGGAGCGGTTCTGGGCGAGCTAGCCGATGGGACTCGAGGCCACACCAGGAGGATGGAATTTATTTTAAGGTATTTCCGCCGATTGTTCATATTTAGAGTGAGTTACGGCTGTGAGAGACAAAGGTCAGGCGAGGAGACCCTGGTTCACCGACAGGACCCTCAGCCCCTCTCTTCCTTTGTTTCTCTCATAGAACCGAAACCATCTGAAAGATCTCCAGTAGCACCTCAGACTGAGTTTAATTCTCTGGAAAGTGTAGGGGGATGTAAAGGAAAGGGCGCTTGGGGGCTGCGAGGTGAGCCCGGTGGCCTCCAGCGCTCTGGCGGCTTTGTCCACTGCAGCGGGGCTTGAGTCCCAGGAGCTGAGCCGCAGGCGGAGGGAGGGTCCCGAAGCAGCGGCTCCGGCCGAGGTGGCCCGCGCGGCGCTCGCTCGGCGAGACGGCCTGGAGGGGGTGGGGGCTGGGTGGATGGGAAGGGGAATCTCTCCCGGCTTGGCCGCGTTTGCTGGCGGCCAGGGATGGAGAGGTAGGGCTGACCTAGGCAGCCAGAGCAGCTGGGAGAGGGAAATCAATGAGTGTGCAGACGCGCTGCCATTTTATTGATGAGGCTTCAGGCCACTTTGTTCAGTGCTGGGTTGGTTGGAGGACGCGCTTTCCCACGCGCGGGACCGAAGGTGCAAGACCCGGAGGACGGAGGATGCGCCATTGTTTCCCCAGTACTCTACCCGGGTAGGGGTGAAGACAGTTCAGATCTAGGAGAGGCTCAGGATAGGGGTAAGCGTGCCCGACGCCCAGAAGCTCTGTTAGTCTAAATTTCGGGAGCCAGAACTGGGTTTGGGCTTCATAATGTGCATGGCCTGTATGCCCCATTGTAATGCACCCAGCTGGCTTGCAGAGTTTTAAGGACTGGCTGGTGCACCCTGGGCTAGAGAGAATTCGAGGCAGAGTCCGCAGGAAGCAGAGGCAGACATTTCTCCGGCTTCAGACCCCAGAAACAGTGCTGTAGCCAGGACAGAAGCAGATGAGAGATAAACCATGCTTGCAAATTACTGGGAAAGCCTGTGCTAATTGCACTTTGGAGACCCAGCACTCCTGGGAAGGATGAAAACTCCCTGAAACGGTGAAGGAAACTTCACTTTTCTCTGCTCTTGGAGATCTTGGGGTGGAGGAAAGGGGTGTCTACAAGGAGTCGGGAATCAGATTTTCTCCGTGACTTAAACAAAAAAAAAATCTTATTTCTTTCTGTACTTGAAAAAAAAAAAAAAAACTCAAATCAGGTTTCTCCTACTTGAGAGGGATTTACATCCCCAGAAGGGAAAGGCTGCTTCTACCCTCCCCCGCTGCCGTCCTCGGGCGCTAACCGTGTTTAACTGAGGCGGTTTCAAGTGCCCTAAAACACCCCTTGGAAATAAAATGTAAGCTTTAATTGCTGTTCAATTACTTGTCAGCATTTCATATGATTTATGACCCAGTTCTGGCGCATTTTTGACCCAGTTAAAGACTCATAAATAATATAGTTTCGCTAGAAAGAATGAGAGAGGGAATAGAGGTTTGTTAAAGGCATCTTTTTATTGTCACTTCAGTGCCAGCCAGCGGAATAAATATCTAGGGATGGACTCTCAAACTGGTTCTGTATAAAAGTGTGCACAGTGAAAAGAAACCAGTAGTCCAGTTTATAGAGCACCAGTTGGTTTTTCCTTCACGCAAGGAGCTAAAGCCACTCCATAATAGCTAAACTACAGCTATAAAAAACAGGCTAGTCCCCTTTTACCCTCAAAATGCCAGCCTCACCCTCACAGGCAAGTGTATTTCCTCATTAATTTTCCTCTCCATTCCCAGATTTCAGTGCCTCTTGTGCCTTACCTTCCTCCCTGGCTTATAGACAGCCTTGCAGGGACCCCAGCACCCCCCCCCCCCAACCCGCAGACCTGTTCTCAAGGAGGCCCCTGCAAAGGGTAGAGAGGCACAAGCACACCTTCGCTATTTCAGATATTTTTCTAGCACTGGGAAAATGTTTTCTTCTAGTCCCCGTGGGCAAGACATAAGGGAGCACAGGGACTGAGGAGGGGGGTTTGGGGGAGCAAAGGGGTCCTTTCCATAAAGATAACCTCAGTGGTTTTGGCTGAGCAGGGTGAATGGCTGCGGGATTTGCCTAGAAAAGACACCGCAGCCGCAGCAGTGGGCAATTTCTGGCAGTGAAAATCGGCAGGCGGTATTTTTCTCTTAAAAAACAGTAACACAGAACCTTCAGCAATCATAAATTATTACCTTTAATCACATCGCCTGCCTTGCTCTGAAAGCCAGTCCTGTGGATTTCAGCAGAGAGGCCCAAACCCGGAGGTCTGCATGCCAGGGTGTGAGACCAGTCTTGAGGTCAGAGCCAGATTTGTGCCCACTGCAGCCAGCTGCCCGGAAGCCATCTAGTCTGGGACCATCCAGCAGAGACCCTGTCCCAAGCTCCCACCCCAGCTCTCCCTCAACTCCCATGGCTCTTCAAGTCCAGTCCCAGCATTTTGCCCGGCACAGTCTTGGTGCGGGTGAAAAGGTATGCGCCCCAGATGCCCCAGCCCTCACCTCGGAACCCTCGGCCCTCTTGGCCCAGGCGGTCCCCTCCCCTGGCAGGTTCTCACGGAAAGCTGGCCTTCCCTGCAGCTGGCTTAGCTGAGAAGGCGGTGAGAGTCGTGTCAGCAGTTTGGAGGAGAAAGTGCGGGTTGATTATTGACCCACGCCTTCTTTCTTCAAATGCCACATCCGACCAGGCCAGTTTGAAGAGAAAATGCAGCCGAGCGATTTTTGCGGCGGCTCTCACCTCCTACGCCGCCCGGCTCCCCCTTTTAAGTTGCGCTGCCGCAATATGCCATAAGGAGCAAGTGTTTGCTGTTTTGTGCTCTGTTTACAGCTTTGGGGCGCCGAGTCATAAATCTTGCCCAGCCATAAATGACAAAAACCATTGGTATGCATGAGGCCACCCTGGCCAGGACTGCTTTTTGATTTCTCCCTTTTCCCTTGGCTTTGTTTTTGCTTTAAGGTGACACTTTGGCTCCCTGACAGTTTAAACATACTACTTATATTTTTAACACCTTCCTTTGAGAAGGACTGGCCGTTGACACCTTGGAATTGCATGAAAGCTCCATTTCTCTTTTTGCCACACACATACCCTTGCAGAGTTCGCTGGAGAGTGGAGGGAGGCATTAGAAGAGAGAAAGACCATCCTCCTTAAAGTTGTGGCAGTATTGCGGGGCACACCCAGGCCTTTCCTTTGCTCAGTGTCCCTGCATACCACTAATTAGAGAAGAAAACATTATAGATGTCGGTTTGTGTTGGGGTCAGAGTTTTATCTGTCTTTTCCTGTGAGTGAGCTGCGCGTCTGTACTATGAAGTAGGCATAGAAAAGCTGGAGACCCAGGTTTCTAGGCACCCTAGTACGTACCTGAGCCCAGCGCATCCCACTTCACTGCCTGGACTTGTGTCCATTTCCCCCAGGTTACTTCCCTCTTGGCTGCCAGGATTTTAAGAGTTTCTGCCTAAAAATATAATGAAAGACAGCCCAGTTGGCTCTTGGGGAGGTCTCTTGAGAAGGGAGGCCCTATCCCTGTCCCCCAAGGATTGCCTTTGAGGTTCTCAGGTTGGGGGTGGAAGATTTGGTAAAGTGCTCAAAGTCTGGGGGACTCTCCTTATGGTTCTCTTTCCCCTTGCACCCCAACTGGAAGTGTTCAGGGCAGAGGGTTACGTGGTTTCTCAAATGGATTCCCAAGAAATAGAGCCCGGCAAGAGAGCCCCTTTGTGAGAGCCGTTTGTCCTCATTAGCATAATTTTCCTGGACTTTAGTGACGCCTAGAAGCGAGGAGAGGGAGGGCGTTGGGGGTTGGGGGGAGGCTGCCCTCCTCCCGCCGCCGCGGAGCTCCCCCTCTCGCTCCTGTCCCTCCCCTCGCCTCAGCCCCATCCCCCACGCCGCCCCGCGCTTCCCCAGCCGCCTCGGCCTCCCCTCCCGCCCGCCCCCAGTACCCCCCACCGCACCCCCCAGCCAGACGCTGCTCCGCGTGTAATATTCATAAGAAACATACCCAAGTCGGTGCCACTAGCCCAGGCAGAGCCCTGCGCCGCGCTAGCGCTTATCTCCGGGCCACGGCTGCTGCCCTCGGGAAGGGCAGGGGGCGGGGGTGTGGGGGAGGGGTGGGTGGGTGGGGTGGGTGGGAGGGGGGGGGGTCCAAGCCGCCCCAGTCCGCCCTGGGCGAGCCGTGCCGGAGCAGCGAGGCTGCCACGCTCTGCGCCGCGGCGTCCGGGCCTCGGGGTCTCCCTCCCGCCAGCCGTCTCGGCTGATGCTGAGGGTCGGTGCCCATCCCGCGCCTAGGGGACCCGGCCGGGCCGCTAAGCCGGGCCGGGGGCCGGAGCCCGAGCCCGAGCCCAAGCCCGAGCCCGAGCCTGAGCTTGCGGCGCTCATCAGAAGTTAAGGTAAGCAGGGCCACAACCGGCCGCTCTCCGCGCTGAATGGCGGAGTTTACGTCTCGGTGATTTATGGCTGCAGACTTAAATCTCGGTTCAAGAAGAGTTCACAAGCCGGAGCTTCCTTCCCGGCAGTGACTGATACCCTTACACTTCGAGTTCAGGCCGCTTTCCCATCCCCGCCCCCACCTCTTCCCTCTCCCCTAGCCCAGCCCCAACTTTTCTGGGTTGGGGAGGGAGGGGTGGGCAAGGGGACGAGGGGGCTCTTACCCGATATTCCCGCTTAAACTCGGGGTGAGGGCAGGCTGAGGAAGGGGCGGGAGTGGAAAGAGGGAGCGGTGTCTGAAGGAAGGAGGTTGAATTTGGGCAGATCTTCCAGAAAGACAATAGGGCTTGCTTTCTGCACTCAATTTAGCCTCCTCAACTCTCTTTCAGCTCTTGCACCTGGGGGTTATTGTCCAGAAACAGATCTTTTAGGAGGAATCTCCTCCCACCCCCAGCCCTTGCTTGAGGGGGTGCAAAGCAAGTTTCCTGACTGGCAGATCTCCAACTTCTTTACTGGATTGCAAACTTTGGGGGCTGGGGTGGGGTGGGAGGGGAGAACTGTGTGGGTCCCAAGGTGGTTGTCTGCTGACCTCAAACAATAGGAAGGACTCTGGTGGGATCTCCAAGGTGAATTCATATTTTTAGTTTATGGGGGTTGTTGTGTGCTCTTTGGTTTTTAATGGTATTTTTGTTATTTACAAGACAATGATCAACTTGATGAAAAGACTTAAGTAAGCAGCAGGCCAGTGTAGCTTGTGATAATGGATTGAAAAGTCACTTGAAATGTTGCACATTCAAAATCACCTTTATTTTGTTTTATCTAATATCTTGCTGTTCAGGTGTCTGGAGTAATTTTCTTAACCTGACATTTTATTTTACACAAGCCTGGTATCTTAAAAATTTATAATGGCAGACAGTAACACTGCCAAATGTAATAGAACTATTTTCAATGAAAGAACAGGAAACTGAGACATTCAATTACTATTCAGTTTTAAAATTTATTTTATCCTTTTTAAATTTTTGATCATAGTATCTGTAGCTTCCAAAATAGAAACAATACTCCAAGGGCTCAGGATCACGCACACTAACTTCGAATAAGGGAAGCTGTAATTTTTAATTGAGGTTCTGGAAAATTAATTGTGCTTGTTTTCCATATGTTGGTCAGATTGTTGGTTTAATAATGAAATCCAAAGGAGCCCATTATTAAAAACAAAATTGTAGTCATCTGCTTGTGGATGGCTTTTTCTAGTTAACAAAGTGTCTGCTATTCCTAGAGAACTTGAATGACTCCAGGACTCAAATATACATAGTTGGGGCATGAACTAAACCATTTTCTTCTTGAATTTGTCATTGTATTTTTTCTTAAATGGTCACACTAACATTCTGAGTGTGTGTGTGTGTGTGTGTGTGTGTATGCATATTAACTCACGTAGAACTTTTCTCAGCTGAGAACGAGAGATTGACCATGCACAGGTTGAAAACAAAAATAAAACAGATTTCACTTCTGCAAACTGCTTTCTAAATAATATTTTTTTAATAAGGGGTTGAGAAGGCTTTCAGTTGCTTTTAAGATTTCCAGTCTTGACCTTTACTTGGTGTTTCTGAAGCAGGTAAATAGGCCAAGTAACAAACATCAACAACAAGAGCACACAAAGATCAGGGCAATCTGGCAGGATTTTATGGCTTGTGCTTCCATCCCTCGTCCGGAGCCAAATGACCCCCATACATCAAATTACATAGCAGTTTCTAAGACAGAACCTATTATCGTTAAGTTGGAGGGAGAGTTCAAGCCGTGGTCATGGAGATGAACGCTGGTTTTTCAGGTTCCTGGTGGGTTGTTTTTTTCTCTAATCCATCATGTTTTAACAGGTAGAATTTGATAGTTATCCTGAATAACAGCACCTCAGAAAGTCCAAGGCAGGAGGGTCTGGGGACCTTCTGTAACAGGGGAGAAGAGGTGGGAGTGGCTTGCTGGGTCAAGCCTGAGAAATAGGGAGAGGAAAGGAGTCAAGAACTGTCCAGGATTTGAGTTTGACTTGCTGGAGCAAGTGTTGTTGTTGGTCCTTTCCCACGCAGGATGTTCCCTCCAGAGTTTTTTCTCTTCCCTTCTTGGCTGCAAGGGGCTCATTTGGAGGAGGTAGGTCATATCCCCTGCCCAAGGGTAGATTAACTGCCCAACAAGCTCAGCTTCTGAAATCCAGCGGGGTAGTAGGGCAATTGCCTGAAAATGTTTTGTGCATACCTGTCTTGGGTGCTGAAAGATCCAAGAAGGGGCTCGATGGGAAGTCACCCCGCATCAGGGCTCTTTTGCCAAATATTAGTCCTAAAGCGAGGATTGGAGAACGAATTGGCAACCTAAGCTCTCCTTTGCCTCCTTGCCCCCTTCCCCATGATCCTGAGAGGGAAGGAGTCGCAGGGCTCGCTGGACAAGGCCAAAGAGCAGAGACGAAGGGACACCCCAAGTTTCTTCTCTCCTGGAAAAGAAGAATCCCAGCCCTGTTCCTTTCTAGCCCATCAACCTTTCTTCTTTAGGACTCCGGTTCTGGAGCCCCGGCTTCCAGCCCTCACTTACTCTCCTCCTCTCTCCCCGGAAAACCCCCGAACTCCAGACGCAAGTTAAGCAAATATTTGTAGCTGCCAGTAAATTCCAGCGGCTTTTTATAGCGCGGCTCTCTGCGCCCGGGGCCAAGTCGTGCTGCTAAATATTGCTGACCACTTTTTCTTTTATGGCTTTCATGTCACTTAGCTATTGAGAGTAAGATGGATTTGCGCGGAGCCCTCACCGCGCTGCGATTCTCGCCCCCCAGGTCTGCGCGGGGCAGCCATTGGCGGCGGAGTATCACGTGACCGCGGGGGCGTGCCAATGTGCGCCCTCAAGGGTGTCAAGCCCCTGTCAGAGTGTGCGATCAAGATTGTGAGACAACGCGATGCAAAAAGCGACCTACTACGACAGTTCGGCGATCTACGGTGGCTACCCCTACCAGGCAGCCAACGGGTTCGCTTATAATGCCAATCAGCAGCCGTATCCGGCGTCCTCGGCACTGGGCACTGATGGCGAGTACCACCGACCTGCCTGTTCACTCCAGTCGCCCGCCAGCGCCGGGGGCCACCCCAAGGCGCACGAGCTGAGCGAGGCGTGTCTGCGCACCCTGAGTGGCCCGCCCAGCCAACCCCCAGGCCTCGGCGAGCCCCCCCTGGCCCCGCCGCCCCCCCAGGCCGCGCCCCCTGCTCCACAGCAGCCTCAACCCCCGCCACAGCCCCCAGCACCCGCTCCTGCCGCGCCCCCGCCCCCCTCTTCAGTTTCCCCACCTCAGAATGCCAGCAGCAACCCCACGCCTGCCAGCGCAGCCAAGAGCCCCCTACTCAACTCACCCACCGTGGCCAAACAAATCTTCCCCTGGATGAAAGAGTCTCGGCAAAACACAAAGCAGAAAACCAGCGGCTCCAGCTCAGGTAAAGCCGTACCTTCTAGAGGAGGGGTCCCCTGGCCTGGCTCCCGGCCCCCCAAGCTACCTCCCGTCACAGTCTGGGAGCGCTGGAACATTTTCAAGAACAGCTCCTTCTCCTTCAACTAGGGGGGTGACAGGACTCTGTGTCCAGGAAACCCCCAGACAGACCTGATGAGAGTCTCTCTTGACTTCCTCAAGAGCAAGTGGGGCCTAGTGAGTTTGGAACCCCTTCTTGTTACACTCTAGGAGTTAGGACCTTTGGGCATAGCAAACCTGAGCTCCACACTCTCTTTTTAGCATAACTCCTTTCTAGTGGAACAGTGACATCCATCCCACACTGAAATGTGGTAGAATAAAAGCAGGCCTAGTCACCATCCAAGTCAGAATCAATGCTTTGCCTATAAACAGAGCCTATTTTTAATTTTTGCTCCAGTAGATGGAGTGGCTGCCTTACCTCTGGGAAGGCCCTACTCAGATTTAGTACAATGAAGGCAGCCAGGGATCTCCTGGGGGTGGGGATTTGGACTTGTCATGCTAATAGGAACCACTTGGGCCTACCAGAAACTAGACTAGAGGACAGGGCCTGGGTCTTAGGCTTCCCAGCATCTTGGTTACCTTTCCCCCTGCCTTCTCCAGTTCCCAGTACTCTGCTCTGAGCCTGAGCATCTGGGACCCTGCAGAACCAAGGTGGGGGTAGGGCGAAGGGGAGGATAGGAGGGTACAAGATTAGTGGATTAAATTGGGGAGGCAGCTTGATAACATGAAGAACGCTTTAAAGGGACCCGGCCAGGGGCCTGGGCCTCCCCACCAGAAATTGGTACTTTCAATGTGATCTCTTCCTTTGGGCACAGAAGGCCTTCCAGATTGGGGCTTCCACTCCACCTGCCTCCACTGGGTAGACCAAATAAGTGGCCAGTTGAGGCAACTGTGCAATCCTTCCATCAGACAGTGAAAGAGAGAAAGGTTTATTGAGTGTATAATAGGTGCCCCACATCCCAGTTACTGTGAAGGGAATGAAGATGGGAGACCTGCCCATAGGGAGCTTGTAGTCTGATAGGCCTGAATGACTGCATGATTCAGAAAGTGAATAGCTCCAGGAAGGAAATACAGATCAGGAAGGCAAACTGGGGGTTCTGCTTTCCTATCTCTTGCCCTTAGGGAAGCCTGTGATTTGCACCTTAACTGAATGAGGGGCTAGCTACCCAGCTGCTGGCACTATTTCCCCTCCAGGACAGAGGACAGCACCTAGGTCCTCCTCCCCCCTTCTGGGCCCTGACAGACCGAGGGATCTTGGGCCCTGGAGTGAGGAGGGGCCTGGCGGGTTCAGGGGCTAGGCGGGGCCTCGGGCAGCCCCTGACGCCACTCTCCCTCTCTCCTCTGTCCTCGCAGGGGAGAGCTGCGCTGGCGACAAGAGTCCGCCTGGGCAGGCGTCGTCCAAACGGGCGCGCACCGCCTACACGAGCGCGCAGCTGGTGGAGCTGGAGAAGGAATTCCACTTCAACCGCTACCTGTGCCGGCCGCGCCGGGTAGAGATGGCCAACCTGCTGAACCTCACAGAGCGCCAGATCAAGATCTGGTTCCAGAATCGCCGCATGAAGTACAAGAAGGATCAGAAGGGCAAGGGCATGCTGACGTCATCAGGGGGCCAGTCCCCAAGTCGTAGCCCGGTGCCCCCCGGCGCGGGCGGCTATCTGAACTCTATGCATTCGCTGGTCAACAGTGTCCCATACGAGCCCCAGTCGCCCCCGCCTTTCTCCAAGCCTCCCCAGGGTGCCTATGGGCTGCCCCCCGCCTCCTACCCCGCACCCCTGCCAAGCTGCGCGCCCCCACCGCCCCCACAGAAGCGCTACACCGCGGCGGGGGCAGGGGGCACACCCGACTATGACCCGCACGCTCATGGCCTGCAGGGCAACGGCAGCTATGGGACCCCACACTTACAGGGAAGCCCCGTCTTCGTGGGGGGCAGCTATGTGGAGCCCATGAGCAACTCTGGGCCTGCCCTCTTTGGCCTAACTCACCTCCCCCACGCCGCCTCGGCAGCCATGGACTACGGGGGTGCTGGGCCACTGGGCAGCGGCCACCATCACGGGCCCGGGCCAGGGGAGCCTCACCCCACCTACACGGACCTTACCGCCCACCATCCTTCTCAGGGAAGAATTCAGGAAGCCCCCAAGCTCACCCACCTGTGATGGTGGGCTCGGGGCTGCGCGCCAGGAGAGTACCCCCCCCCCCCGCCCCCACCTTTCTTCGTCGTTTCCCTGTTTTGTTTTGTTTTAAGATTCTTCCTGTCCTCTCTTTTCTGTTCTCCGCCCCTTCTACCTTCCCCTCCCCCTCGTTTTGTTTTCTTTGGTAACGCGTTTTTATAGTTTATGTGACGTAGCAATCTTGGTTGCTGGAATGGCTGTCAGTATCAGTAGCGATGTTTATCTCCTCCTACCCCCTCGCTCGGCCGCTGGCCCTGCACCCTTTACTTTCTCTACTCTTTGATCAGAAACAGGGTATATGAACAAATTTTCTAGCCGAGTTCTTCAATGTGAATTTGTTCGTACATTATGGCTCCCGAGGGGAAGCAATTACTTTTTTTTTTTAACTTTTAGATTTTTTTTAAATTGCACTTCTTGTAAAGAGCGAGAAAAAAATCAAAGGCGCTTTGAAACAGGGGCTCCCTGTGCAAGGACGACTAAGTGTACGTCTTTCCGTGTGTGTATGCTGGTGAACAGTCAGATTTATTTATATTTTTTTTGCAAGCATTGAATAATCTAAGTTTTAAATATTATTTATCCCCATCCGTTCGTATTTATATTAAAGAAATTCTGTACCCTGATTGTTCAGAAGGTTTCTTGGGCCTTTTGTTCAATAGTGTATTGGCGTACATAGAAAAATTTTTTATTTGAAAGGGAAATATAATTCCTTTATAAAAACGGTAATGATGCAATAATACCAGAGAGGATCCAGCTTTTGAAAAGACTGATTTAGGTTTGTAACATCCGGCCAAACTGAAAAAAAAAAAAAAAACAATCTGTAAACGTGAAAAATGCTAGATTTGTTTCGAGAGTTCTACATTCCTTGCTGCTCACATTCTGAGAAACTGAACAACAAAAAAAAATAAATAAAGTTTTTATTCTGAATAATATCCGTGTTCAGAAGGGGTTCTTTGGCCGAAGACGGGGGTCTGCGTGGAATTCAGGCAGAGGCGAAGTGGCTTGAGCAGGCCGCGGCAAGCCCTCTAGCTCCGGAGTGGGGCCTGGCCGGGCGGCTCGCCCGGGAGCGCAGCGACTTCTCGGAAGGCTGTGGGAGCTCCCGGAGGCGGGCAGCTTTGCAAACCGCCGAACGCCAGCCCGCTGGGCAGCCTGATTCCCAGCTGCCACGGAGGGGCCAGCCGCAGGCGCAGAAGCTGCGTGAGTGCAGAGTGCGGGAGAAACAAAAGGCCGCGGGCCGAAGCGCGGCGGGGACGCACAGGTGCCCGAGAGGCCCCGCTGGGGAGTAAGGCAGGGCGTTCTTCTCCAAGATCTTCCTCTAGGTCGACGAGGACCAGTCAATGCCTTAACCCTGGGAATCGCCAGCCGCGCGGAGGATGGCGAGCGTTTTCTCGAGCAACCGGACTCTCAGTAGATGCTTTTCGGTCCTTTATCGCCCTAGGAGGAAAGAATCACTCCTAAAATCGCCACGGGGAGCTAGGAGGCTCGAACCGGACAGCCTCACCCAGGTCTCCGGCAGAAGAAAAGAAAGGCTGACTCCCAGGAGCCTCCCCGAGCCCTTCCCTGGACTGTTTGAGTCCCAGCTTTGGCTTCATCCTGGAATTTGGGATCTGGCATTCTCTGGATTTATTTCCTCTCCTTCATCCCTCCTCGTTCTCCTTCTGTGGCCCCAGGGGGAGGAGGGGAGATAAGGGAGATTGGCATCTTTCTAATAAAAATGCAATTTTATAAGTATTTCTTTCTCATGATGCTACAGGGGCTAAATGTTACATTTCTACTCCTGGATTTAAGATAGGGCTACCTACTGACTGGCTGGCAGAGGCAAAAGCAGGCACAGGAAAGGGAAATATTTTCATCTTCAGATTAAAGAACTGCTTGGAGAAGGAACCAAATTCAGAAAGTGTAAGCCTCAGAACTGTATCCCCATCAACATCCCCTTTCTAAATTGGAAGCAAGGAACCACCTGCGTCTGGGGATCAGAAGCATCTGATGTGAGAAATAAATCCTCCTTCTCCCTGGATTGTATCTTTCAGAGACGGAGGTGAAAAATGTCGCCATTTTGTTTGCAATCCAAAATATCCATCATCATGGCCACTATCTTTCCCCTGAGAAGCTCCCTCAGCTGATCTTTAGAAACAGGCACTGGAGCCATTTTTGGGTATCTCCTGGGTCCACAGGAGCTGCTTTTAGGGGACCTTTTCACATTTTAAGAAAAAGAAAAAGGCTCTGAAGGTATAAAGCCAGGTAGCTGTAGAGATCTGAGTTTTTCTCTCACAGCCAGAGATGCTTCTCCCCTATCTGTTCAGGGGCTCCTGATACACATATTTTTTTTTTTCATTTTTGAAAGAGTTTGGGTTACAGAAGGAGTAGATCTACTCCCCACCCCACCCCAACCTCCCTGCCGAAATATGGCGCACCTCAGAAATGCAGAGTCTGGAAAACCAGTCTTTGTGAGGACTGGAGCGTCTGCTCTTTTAGTTGTTCAGATCTGAACTGAGCAGGCTAAGCAACACGGAAGTCTTATGAGTAATAATTTTAGAGAAGTGTATAAAATTACCTAGTAAAATAAGGAACAGTGGAGAAAGAGAGAGAGACGGAAAGAGAGAGAGAGAGAGAGAGAGAGCCAGGGAGCTCTACCCATTCAGAGAGGGAAATCTTTCAGGGCTATCACTATTTGAACCCGTTTCCAAAATCTGCTATTTAGCTGAGAGGCAACTGGTTTGGAGGCATCCTTCCTCCCTCAGGACACAGATTTTTAAATGAAATTCCAACATGATTTCCCATATCTTGGCAATCAAAACATTCGTTTTGGGTTTCAAAGAAAAAATATTGATCTCACCTCCAGCTTCCAAGATATTAAAAATAAGTCCTTATTAAAAGATTCCTGGGTTAAAGCAATAGATTTGGGGAAGATTTCAGTGTTGAATGGTCAAAGAAAAGGGTTTGCTTCCAGATGGTGTTTGAATTAAGGCCGCTGAGGCGAGCAGAAAGCTCTCACCCACGCAGCCCCTGACAAAGCCTCAGCGATATGGGGGCAGCGCTGCTCTCTCTCCGTAGCTCCCCCTCCCCTTAACCCCTCAATATTATTTCTGGTAAAAGCAAATGGCAAAAGCCGCTATCCCAGAATCTGCAAAGCACCTTTCCTAAAAGCAGCCTTATAACTCTTTCTGCTGCCAGAAAGATATATTTTAAAAGACTAGTTTTCCTTGTTTACTTGCGTTTCCTGCTCTCCTCTTTGCTCGGCCACATTTGATCTTGGAAAGAGCTCGAAGCTGAAATGTGTTCTTAAGGGCCAGAAGCTGTCAAGGCTTTTGGTGAGCAAGATTGATCGCGCCCAGACTTCCTTCAGAGCTTTGTTTGGAATAAAAGCAAGAAAACTGAAAAACCTCACATTTTCCAAAATAGCGTCTCTATCTGTAAGGCAATGCTGTGGGCCAGTCAATGACGGAGGCCACTTTATATGTAATTTCCAACCCAAGACCCTTTGATGCCGGCCTTAGAGAAGGAGTCCTAGCCTTGTGCTGCGGTCGGCCTTTCTTGTTTTCTACGTAGATTTTTCTCCCCCACCAACCTCTCTCTCCCTGGCCATCAGAATGATTTATTTTCCTGCCACGGATGCCTGCCGGCCTGGGGGAGTCTGATCACTTGGTCCATTTCAAAGGAAGCAAAAGCGAATCATCATCCTCAGGGTTTGAGGGAAAAGAGATACCTTCAGATTTCTCTCTCAGCCTCCTCCCCTCTTTCTGGCTTGGTGGATTTTTAAAAAGTTATTGTTTGGTACCTAAAGGTGTTATCTTTTGAACCCTCCAGCACAGTCCACGATGCCCTCAGTCTCAAGTCTCCGAATTGGAAAAAAGAGAGGGTGAGGAGAGAAAAGAGAACGTTTATAATTCCTCCTGAGGTTGCCCTCTCTCACCTGCGATGCTGTTTCCCACAACAGAACCTGAGTGCAAACATCCCTGGTGGCCAAGGAGCGGAAAGGTGCGGGAGACAATTTGGGCTGCCAGGGAACACGAATTGCATCTGAACCAACAAGCCCCCAATCAGAGCGACAAGGACCAGGAGAAGAAGGAGAGGGAAAGAAAAAGAAAGAGAGAGAGAGAGAGGAGTAAGCGCCTTCTCCTTCCCTGCTGCTAACTTCCAACAGACTTCCTGGAAATCAGAAATACTCACCGCACCCGAGCCCTACGGGTATGAAACCCAGAATGCCAGGAGCCGCAGGAGCCTGCTCCGGGTGGCATTGCTTTGGTTGGTCGCCGCCCTGGCTACACAGATTTGGACACATGAACCTGGGGTTGTTGTCTTGCTTGGCACATGCATCTATCTTTCTTGAGCCACTCCTGAAAAGTTGATGGCACCGGAAGGTTGGGAAGCTTCGAGAGCCGCCTCCCCGTCTTCCGCTTCCCTCTGGAGCCAGATGCATAGCTGCCTTGGAAAAGCCGGCTAACAATGGGCCGGGGTCCGGGTCCGGCGGGGGGGGGGGGGGGCGCCCACCCCCCGCGGGGTTTGGGGGGGGGGGCGGGGGCATGCGGGAGGGGTTTGGGGAAGGAGAGGTGGACAGAGGAGAGAGGGAAGGGGACAGGGGGGAAGAGGAAAAGAGGGAAGGAAAGAGAGGAAGGAAAACAGGAATCACTTCTGAGATCCAGTAACTGGTTTTAGAAGAGGTAGAGGAAAATGGAAATAAAAGAGGGGAGACCCCAAAATGAATCCTCTCTTTTCTGTGTCTTCTCTCTCTGTCTGTCTGTCTCTCCCTCCCTCCCTCCTTCCCTCTCTCTTTCTTCTCCCAGTCTCATCTCCCCTCTCCCTCTGCTCCTTCCTCCTGCCTTAGCAGAACTTCTGTGGCTGGGATGCGGGGCTCTCGGGTGTCAAAACTTTGAAGATTAATGGATTACTTTGTTAATGACTGCAGGCGTCAGACTGAGGTGCTTAGATGATTTGTGAGGTGCGAGGCGTCTTCCCGACAGTCCCAAACAATGCGCGGAGTGTGCGGGGGAGTTAGAGGGCAGCCGCCGGCGGGCCCGGCAGCAGGGCTCACACTCGCACACACTCACACACTCACACACACTCCCAAGCGCACACACCAGGTTCTGTGCTGATAGGAGGCAGGCAGGCACCCTCGCCCCCACGCACTCCCGGGCATCCCCACCCACACCCACATATATGTATTTTTGCCCTGAAAAAAGTGTAAATAAAGCCTCGCTGGCCCCCAATGAGGCGTTCCTTCCCGACTTTTTTGGATCAATCAAACAGACAGTGGCTTCTTTTGATTAAAGCCCAAATTGTCATTGGGCAGAAGCAATCATGTGACAGCCAATTCGGTCCAATTTCAACCTTGTCTCCATGAATTCAATAGTTTAATAGTAGCGCGGTCCCCATACGGCTGTAATCAGTGAATTAGAAAAAAAACACCCCAGCAGCGATCTTCTATGATAGATTTTTTTTTTCCTCTGCTCTCGCCTTTTTCCCGGGCCTTGCCCCCCCAAAGCCCCTCCAGAAGAGGGAACTTTTTCTCCGAGGGGGCTCCAAGGAGAAGGCCATGAATTACGAATTTGAGCGAGAGATTGGTTTTATCAATAGCCAGCCGTCGCTCGCTGAGTGCCTGACATCTTTTCCCCCTGTCGCTGATACATTTCAAAGTTCATCAATCAAGACCTCGACGCTTTCACACTCGACACTGATTCCTCCTCCTTTTGAGCAGACCATTCCCAGCCTGAACCCGGGCAGTCACCCTCGCCACGGCGCTGGCGGCCGCCCCAAGCCGAGCCCCGCGGGCAGCCGCGGCAGCCCAGTGCCCGCCGGCGCCCTGCAGCCGCCCGAATACCCCTGGATGAAGGAGAAGAAGGCGGCCAAGAAAACCGCGCTGCCGCCCGCCTCGGCCGCCGCCGCCGCCGCCGCCGCCGCCGCCACCGGCCCTGCCTGCCTCAGCCACAAAG